CTTCCTCTATCACTTGATACAGGAGGAGCACAAACTTAACACTAGCTGTCTTTAAGAACAAAAGTCAATAATCACGATTTCTATAGTAAAAGTGAGGGTTGAGGACTTAAGATCAACGCAACCAGCTATAGGTCAGAGTTCAGTAAACTATGTGAGATCAAAAATCATGTCGAATCAGGCAATGTTCCGACGTTTTCTTTGAAAAACTTCATCTAATGGGATATTGAACACATGCGCCTAGTATGTATGGTGTAAGCACTCACTCTTTTCTGTAAGAACGCAATTGTCCCAAGCACTATTGAATGCTCAAAACACATGGCTTTCTATGGGACAGCACACAAGATCCTTAATCAGCCACACCCTTTCACAGGCTTACTTACCAGTCAGAGGGTATGGATGTATTAGGTACACGTATGTTCTTCTGCCATTGTCAGGATGTTAAAGCAGAGAGCTGGTTCCAATAGGGGAAAGAAGGTTAAATAGTAGACTAATACTTTACATTTGTAACTAAAGTTAAGCCAATATAATTTACAAGCAGAGACTAAAGCTTCAATCCCTGAAGGGTCTTCCCACAACAACAACTTGTATTCACACAGAAGTTAAATATAATACGAACAAATAAGTAAAATCACTCCTGGTTGCACACATAGATTCAGAGTTACGTTCGTGAGTTCAACGAAAAAGTTATAACATTACAAATAAATGCAATTAACACAAAGTTCATATATATATATATATAACAACAGCTTTGTTCAGAAATAATATTGAGGTAAAATATTCAGTAGTATCCAGAAAGTATGGAAATAATTCGAACGCACAAATCAAACATTCTTCTAACTTAAAAATACTGGAAAACAATAAGATGTTTTCTTTTATTTAAAATAAGCTAGTAAACTGATCCATATATAATGTGAGACATGTAACATATACATGGCCACATGATCACCAATGCACATATGTAGTATGTGATGTATCATTTCGCCAAAAGTCTGATAACTCTATCAACAAAGTTCAACATCATTTGCACTTTCGAGCACATTTCATGATTTTCGTGTACCACCTATAGTTAGACCACTTGAACCTGAAAGATATCATGGATATATATGTAACCATAGACAGAAATAACCATAAACTCCCATAATCATCCACTAATATCACATTTTGTATTTTAAATTACAAAATATATGTATAGACCAATCCTGTAGAAGTACCAACGATGGCAACAAAATAATTTTTGCCATCATGTCACAGCAATTCAGTACAAACTGCTGTACGTTTATCGCTGATACTACCATTTCGGAGTCACGAAACCAATATATCAAAGAAACATGAAAAATAACTCAAAGATCTAGCAAAATGAATCACATTTAGCCCTGATTCCTACAGACTGTGTAAAATTATTATGCCCTCTTAGAGAACAACTTCAGGAAAACTACCAGGCTAAAAGGTGAAACCTTGTATTGTGACTTATTTGCATGATCACAAGTTTGCTCAGTATGTTTTTACATTTGCCAAAAAACATAACATGAATGCAAGGAAAGCTATAATTCTAGAATATTTTCAACATATTAGTTTTCAGAATTCACGGTTATCATCGGCAGTTGAGATCATTTGCCAATTTTATATGATATTGCTTGACAATTGCATTTGTTCTGCCTGTGTTTCTAGTAAGTATTGTACGTACCGCTCCACAGTAATGCTGTTATAACTCTAGATAAGGTGGGTGATTATTACAAGACACTAAACGTCCCATTACCCAACATTACTCAATAATTTAGCCATTGATCTACCAACTAACTATATGCCCCAACTGTACTATAATTGAGTGGTTATTAAGTGACATCCTGTAGGCATCTTACTATGAACCAACACCCAATAGGCACTTAATCCAATCAGATCAGTCAGGTGTCAAATATTTAGCAAATATATAAATCATAATCTGAAACAAGCCTTCAGCAAATGTAAAAAAACTCATGATGATACGGTGAAGTGTTTATTTTCACCACAACCACACTCGACAAACTTCGCAAAAACCTGGCTATTGATTTATGTGGATCTCACCTGGTTTTTACACATTGTTTTGTTTATTGCTCGACCAAAATATCTGTAATAGATTCAGCTAACATACTGACCAATGGATTAGCTTCAGCTCATTTGGTGAAATAATTGATAACTACTAGCACGTACTGATAATTTACTCACTTCTGAACGGAGGACTAGTTACCTAATGTGATTTTTATAAGGAGAACCTATAACTATCTGCCAGAGGTTTCCATGACATGGTCAGTTTTGTTTCTCTAGTCAGCACATGTGGTGTAGTGTTTACATTATTGTTTAATGTATTTACATGAATGCAGCTATAAAAACACTTCCATTCATTCACAACAATGTGTGACAGTCCCTGGGGACAACTAGCTGCATTCCATGTTATCACCACATCTCGATGGTTCATAATGAGAATACAACGTGCCACCTTACACTCGTAACTAATGATATAAGTACCAGATATTACACTCGTCAGTACTATGTACATCAGTCTATTGTGGCTATGCGTCACCTTGCTCTTCCAGAAAACATCCTTCTACAAGCAGAATTTCTACCGTTGCTGTATTGACTTTGATCATTGTATGATCGGGAGATTTAACAAATGAAAATGCTGTCTCTGGTTGTAAGACAATCTATCAGTATTTCTATGTCGATGACATAGACAGCATTATACAACAGCATAGTGTTCTTGCAGTGCCATTATTCAATGCATAATTATACTTTCTGGATTTATGAAGTTATTCATTTCAATGATACTTTGTACACTCAAATAATGAACTCGCTACCATACAAGCATTTTGGATAAATAATACAATTGCAAGCAATTCCTTTTTGTCATTATCAGTGCTCAGTATCTGTTTGTGCACAGCTTGAATACGTGATTATGTGCTCCAAATCATCATGTGCCTGTAACAAAACGAATACTCCAATCCTACTGTCACTGGCGTCATTATCATGAATGAATATACAATACAGCCTTGAAGAGGATAAGTATATTAGTTTGGAATAGAGGAACAGATTGTATGCTTTGGGTGTAGTATGTTGGGTCACTTTTAAGTGAACTGTCAACACCTTTCCAAGCTTGGGTGTAGTATGTTGGGTCACTTTTAAGTGAACTGTCAACACCTTTCCAAGCTTGGGTGTAGTATGTTGGGTCACTTTTAAGTGAACTGTCAACACCTTTCCAAGCTTGGGTGTGGTATGTTGGGTCATTTTTAAGTGAACTGTCAACACCTCTCCAAGCAGCAGTATTGGTAAAGCTATATTTGCATTGAAGACAAGCCTGAAATAAAGGGGATGAAAAGCGTGATATTCAGGCATGCCATGCATTTTTTACTTTATCATTTTAATATAGAATTTTTTAAATATTTTAATTTATTCTAGGTATGTTTGCTCTTCACATAACACGTGATCAAGAAAGTCATTAAGTTGATTTTGTTCTAGTTTTGTTATTTGTCATCCCTTGAAGTTAAGCACAAAGCTACACAATGGGCTATCTGTGCTCTGCCCACCACGGGTATCGAAACCCAGTTTCAAGCGTTGTAAGTTCGCAGACATACCGCTGTGCCACTGGGGGGCATTTTAAGTGCTATCTCGAACGATGTTATAAATTGTTTCAACGTTACATTTCTTTAATAATATTAAACATAGACTTTTATCAGTGTTTATCTACAAGTAAGATATTTCTTTGACCTTTTATTTTCGACACAGCTGCAAACTTTTTGAGTATATACTGAGAGCATGGGATCTCCAGGGGCTATATGAATAATAAATATCATGAAAAATCTTTTGCAAAGTGCACAGTTTTTATTTCTTTTCTGTTGTGCTGCCCTTTCTATAAAAAAAATAATTTATTTTAAACGTCTGAAACAAAATCTAACGTTTTTCAAATGTGGTAGTTAAAACAACAATGTTAATAGACGGCGACAAAAGTTAAAAACGAGAAGGAGAGAGACTAACAGTTAATCTATTATATTCCCACAACTTTTTTTACAGTGGACGTTAACTATTTCTTTGAAAGTGTGGACAATATGAGAGATGCCAATTCCATATGTTGTGGTGGGAACAATAATCTCTAGGACTCAGGGATTTAACTGCAAATAGTTTATTTGGAGAATATGAAGGTACAATACAACAATCTTCTAAAATTCCCAGGAAATATAATCAACAAAAGAAAATAGCAAAAATGTAATAGAAAACATAACTAAATTTATAAAGCGTAAGTATGCTAGAGAAGAGTCCTATGCAGTAACGTACAGTGGCTCATTGAGAAAAAAGGGCACTTTTCAAGCATCATAAGCCAAGACTTTTTTTTTTTAATGGGTGTGTTTGGAAGTGTTATGGGAGTCTATGGGGACCGTTGGTTGCTTTTGGTACACATACAGTAGAGAGCAAACAGATCTTCTTTTATTACTATTCAATCGGTCTTACAGACACTTCTAATACCTAAAACTAAAACATGAATTCTTACGTATTAACAATTAATAGCATATCACAATTTTTATTTTCATTGTAAAGATCTACAAGTCCCTGTATGCCATTCATTTTAAAAGCTGAAATATTTTTTTCTTAACTTTTAGAAGTGAGGTGTAGAATCAGGCGCGTCTTTTCATAGTTGCGGATAGTTTTTTTATGACTGAGAAAAAGGACATTTTTGCCCATAAGAGGAGGAAGGCTTGAGCTCACGCAGTCATCCCACTGTGCACTTCACTGATTCAAGAAAAAGGTAACAATGGAAGAATAAAAATAGAATTAACTAAATTAAATATTAACTTTTCTAGTTAGTATTACAAAATTAAAATTTAAGATACACAATATGTTGTTTGATTAGGTCACATGTTAGATTAAATACATTAGAAATAAAACCTAATGTGTTTTTTAAAGAAGTAAAAAATAAAACGTCGCCAAACACAAACTTGTATATTTTCTATTCTATTACTTGCTGTTTATTATGTTTAATTACATAAACATTCCTTGCAATTTTGAATATACCGCATATATATATTAGAAACAGTAACTATTTATTCTACCATGTGAATTATAAAGTTGATTTGCTTCTCTCTATTGAAGATTTTCTTAAATAAGTACACACAGAAAGTAATGGTTACATACTACACTACATCAAACAGAATCTCTTAATTTTTGTCTTACAAGTATATACGTCTTAAAGTTTCTTACAATGTGAATACTATCGGTGTGTTCTAGGAAGCTTCTATGGTTACTGATGTTGTAAATAGTGAATAAAAACAGTAAGATTACTAATACATTTACTGTTCGTTCCATAAGGTTAATCCACGTACACCAACAGGCTGTTTTTGGATGGTACTCATTTTAGTTGTTTTACGGGATTTCATTTTATACCAAGAATGAAATAGTTCCAAGAGAAACACAACAATGGATATCCCGTGGCCTACCGAGAGAAGAATAAAACTACCCTGTACATCCTCTAGAGTTAAAGGACGCGGTCCTCCCTGATTCACTGAGGCCAACACTGGTGTGCTGTTATTCTTCTTTGAGAAAGCTTTTTCTCGAGCTCTCTGATCTAGTACGTCCCTTTTCCATTTGTCTATCAAGCCTCCTTCATTCAACTGTCTTATTCTGGAAGAAAGTTTTAGTTGAAATAAAAACTGTGTACATCTGTGATATCAAATAATTTTAATAAGCTGATAGAAAATAACTGCATATCTTTTTTTTCTTCTTTTATTGAAAAGCTGATTAAGAATAAATCAATTTTTATTACTATAAACAACATTTTCATCAACATGATTACAGATTTACACCAACCTCATCTTCGGTTGGTTATTTTATCGTAAGGATACATAATGAGTTACCTACGCTGTGTCCACCGGGGGAATCGAACCCCGAATTTCAGCTTTCTAACTCTTAAGTTCACAGCTGAGCCAACAGAGGCTCGACTTTATCTAGGTGGATTAATATTTGGATTTGGTTGGTTTGTTAGTTAAATATGGGTAAAAATGTTTGAAGATTGTCAAATATGACTTATCTTCAAACAAACACATATCTAGAATTTTAAAATTGTGTTAGAGATGATTATATAAATGACATTTGTTATCAACCATACATTCAGTAATAAAAACCTCTAGATGTTATTACGTATTGCAATTTAGATTTAATAGTAAAATAAATGCCGATATGTATCCAATTTATGATATTTGCCAACAAGATTGATACACACAGTTTTATTTTTTGGTACAAATATATTTTAACATACAAACAATAATACAAATTACAGTAACGGTTATTACAAAAAGTTATTACAAACAATGATTTATATACATAAGTTTTACAAACTTACAAGCAATATAAAGTATTCTTTCTAATCTGGAATTTCCTTGATATCTTATCGAGGGTTCACGATGAGTGAGTTAATTTCGAGGTGACGTAAATACAATTCACTTAATAGGGAGCTAGCTAGCTAGCTCTGTGGTCTTCACTGATCACACGCTGATTTTTTCCACCGATGAAGTTGAGTAATGTTTTCGTAAAAGTACTAACGTCCGATGTGAATCCACTGAAGTTAAATGGATTATAATGTTCGAAATTTATAAATATTCCTGGTCAAATATCTGAAGTTT